AACTGTGAGGAAGAGAACGTGAACTATTTTAAAGACTGCACAGATTTATAGCTTTTATTTATATTCCCTTTGTTTAAACTTTGATCGAGTGGTACTTTGGTGGGATTTGTCGTAAGCATCAGGTTTAGCATTTTACTGCTCAGAAATTACCATTTTCAATGCTTTCAGCAGTTGTTTTCCAGATGAAGAGCATGTGTTTTTGTTACAACATTTCTTAAAATTATAGGAAAATAGGATTCTTTTTATTCTATTATAACCAAAATGTGGTTTAAAAAATGAGCTTTCATCTGCCTTTATGTTCTGTTCTGCTTTTACCGTGCTATCCTCAGAGAAAAGTCTGCATTTTTACAATGCATCTCAGTCTGCCCCCTTGAGAAGATGCCATTATTTTTGGACTGTTTCCCTTCTGCAAAGGTTGGGACTTTATTTTGTTTGGTTGGGTTTTTTTGTTTTGTTTTGGTTTTATTTTGTTAGTTTCAAGTCAATTAGTTACCACTAAAAATGCAGACATTGGAATTTGATTGATATGTTACTGCATTGTGGTTCTTCCTCAGCAATTTGAAAAATTTAAAAAACCCAAAAAAAACCCCAGAAAAACAAACTCCAGTAACTGTGTTTCTGAGGTCCTAGAACTTAATACTCATGCAGAAGAGCAGATGAGGGTCTGCCTGGCTGCATTGCAGCTTTACAGGATTTGGTGTCCTGGTGGTCAACAAACTGAATGAGACTCCACGACCAATGTGCAATAAAGGTCAGAAGCATTGAGCAGCATTAGAGTGTTCCTGAAAGCTCCCAATACACTGGTCTTGGCAAACTGATTTTTTGCTTTACTTAGAGAAGTTGTTTATTTTCATCAGACACACTTACAAGCTGTCGTGGTTCTTTAGTAGTTTGCCAAAATAAGGTTTAAAAGGAGTAGCAGTAATATTTTTAACCTTTTCTAGAGTGTTTTAAAATAATTGGGTGACAGAACAAATGCAGAGTGTGAGTTACCATTAAGGGCTTTGGATCTCATCTTTGAAACCAAGCCGTAAGTCTACAAGTAGCCATCCTATTTCTCATGGCGAGCTTATCAGAAGTTAGTGGTAGGCATTCACATTTTAACTATTTAATTAGATACTGATCATCAAAATATTAGTTTTGTGAAGCAATATCAGATATGGGAGGAAACTGCAGTTGCACAGAGAGGCTGGGGAGGCTCCATCCGTGGAGATATCCTGAAGCTGTCCGGACATGGTACTGGTCAGCTGGTCCTGATGGCCCTGCTTTAGCTGGGGTTTGGTCCTGATGACCTCCACTCATACCTTCCAACCTCAGTTTTTGTGCCATTTGATCACAAACGTGCTTTTCAGGATTCAATCAGCTTACTCTCAGGTCTGAGGTTATAAATGCATTATAAAATCAATGAAGCTGTATTAGTGGCAAATCATAATTTTGAGTTCAGTAGATGTAGCTGTAGTTTTCCTGGTTTTGATGTGTGAATATTTTTCATGTCCCTTAGAAAAGCAGAATTTTCTATGGTATGGTTAATGCTTCTCTACAGTGTCTTAAATTACTAATTACTGGCATTTGCTTAATGATGTAACCATACAGGGTTTCATAAAAAGACTATTGCTGTTGCTTCAGGTGTTCCCCTTTTTCAGTGAGTTTTCATGTGTAGCTGTAATAATCATTAATGTAATATCCTCACTTGGGAAATGGCCAGAGGATTCAAGTTGTGGCAGGTAAAATGGGGTTGATCTCAGTTCTCACTGCTCCAGGACGTGAGAAATCTCATTAGGCTTGAGCTGTTCTCCCTGTGTGATCCGTCTGATCCCTTCTGCTGCTGCAGGGACCTCAGGAAGATACTTTCTTTCCTGGTAAATGTTGGCAGAGACAGAAACACTTGCCTGTCATTAGGTCCACAGTATCTAAATTGTTACTGATCTTACTTCTTTAGAAAGACTGGTTACATTGTGCCTTTCTTTAGGACTTGGTGGGGATCTCCCAAACTGTGGTTAGAGGAGGTTTCACGTGCTGTGTTAATAATTACACTAAGTTAATTTGTATTGAAGTTGCACTGTTAAATGATGCTGAGTAGCATTTTCTTAGTAGAGAACTTATGAAATGATCATGCCTTTTTAAGCTATGCTAATTTACCATTGGAGTTGTATTGGCTAACAATGGACAGCGTTCTCTTCTTCTTTTCTTTCTTTTCATGTTTTTTTTTTTTTTTTTTTTTTTTTTTTTTTTTTTTTAGATTTTAGTAAACTCTTAGAACTGCCCTTTTCATCAAGTCAAAATATGAAAATATGTGTTTAAGTAAAGCCTTTGAATTCTTGTCTAACCTCTGTTACTTATGGGTTTTTACCAGCATTGTGGCAGGGCAGCATTTCATGGAAATTCAAGAGAGAAGTGGGAGTACAGACAGCACTAGCACTGGAGAAAAACTAATTTCAAAAGCAGCCCAAAACGTTTCCTATATTTTACTCTTTGTGCTTAGTGTTTCCTTTTTTTGAAGCAAGTGTAAGGAAATAGATAACTGTACCAAAATCTAATTTACCCAAATTGTATAATAGTCCAAAAGTGTGCTGATAAGTGTTGAATGTTTCAAACTCTGATCCGAAAACATTACTCAAGTTTATGTAGGATTGTATTTCCTTCACAGTTAAATACAGGTTCAAGCTAACAGCTTGGTAACTCATATATAAACTTAATGAGGCACTGTTGTATTCTTTTTTCTTCCATTTTTAATGAACAATTTCCTTTCAAAACTTCATTAACTGCACAAGTCTAATGTATAACATGAAGAACTTTATTGTCCTTTAAGCGCTGGAACTCATGTAGACACCCAGAAGCAATATTAAGATTTTCCTGACATCTAGCTTGTTATTGTTAAACTGCTTGGTCTTACTGTCCTGAAAATCTCTTCTTTCTGAATCAGTGATGAAGAACGCTACAGATACAGAGACTATGCAGAGAGGGGCTACGACCGCCATAGGACAAGCAGAGAGAAAGAAGACAGACACAGAGACAGGAGACACAGAGAGAAAGAAGAGACTCGACACAAGTCATCTCGAAGGTTTGATTTCTCTTTTTTTAATAGGATATGAAAGACTTGCCCAGTTTAAAAAAAAAAAAAAGAAAGAAAAAAAGAAGTAAACTTTTAAAAGAACCACAAACAAACAGGAGTTTTGTGGAAAGACTGTAAACACTCGAATGTGCTACTTGGAACGAGTCTGCCATATAAAACATGGACAGACAAGAAGCAATACTGACCCTGGGTAACCTCGTATTGAGTGACAGTCGGTATGTGAACAGAAATTAGGACACTGGGGAAAGAAGGGTAAAAATGGTGAGTCAGAAAGGGATGGAATGAAGCTGACATTCAGCAGCATGAACAGAACAACTCAACAGTCATTCTCAGTAAGTAAAATAGTCTTCACAGTCACTTGATAGAAATTGTTTTACCTGATCCATTTTAAGTTAGAAATAAAAGTTAAGTCCAGAAAATGGGGTTAACAAGAATGTCAAATTATTAAGGAATGCCAATAGGTGCATGACATTGTTAAACGTATTGCTATTAGAATATGGGTTGCAAATGGGAAAAAGCATTCTATTTTTCCCCCAAAAAGTACAGGATGGATAGATGTATGTTCCATTCCAGGAAAAATTCAGTTCTGCACTGACATCCAAAAACTCTGAGCTGGGAGCAGATGCCAGTTTTCAAATATGAATGCAGAAGCTGTTTTTTTGGTACTTTGTAATGAAATAGGGCCTGAAGTGTCAAGCGTTTGAGGCATGTTTTCTCTCTATTTAGTAACAGCAGACGTCGTCACGACAGTGAAGAAGGGGATAGCCACAGAAGGCACAAACACAAGAAGTCCAAAAGAAGCAAAGAAGGAAAAGAAGCCAGTGGTGAACCTGCTCCTGAACAGGAAAACACTGAAGCTGCCCCTGTGGAATAGGCTTGTGTGATTTTTTTTGCCTACTTGCATATATATTAGTGCCAGAAATAGATTACTATAAATCTTGTTATTTTTCTGGGAATTATAATAATTTGCTCTTAATCTTGTTCTGTTAGTTTGAAATCAAAGGTTACTTTGGTTTTTTTTGAAAATAAAAGAACGAATTTTTCATGTTAAGATTCTTGGACTGACTTTGTCTTTTAAGAAACAGTGAAACAGTGAAAAAACATCTTACATCTAGAGGCTTATGCTCTTACAATATAAGTAGGGCTTAAATTCTTTGTATTAAATTGTCTCCTTTTTTCATAAGCCAACGGGAAGGTCATTCTTTTACTGACTTTAGAAACAGTGTACATTCATTTTTTTATATACCCAACATCTGGAACAGTGTGGGTTTAGCTTTTGGAGACATTTTTGGAAAGGTCGTCCTTTACTACAGGGACACACAGGAACTGCAGGCTCTTCAAAAGACTTGTAATAATGTGAAGCAAAGAAAAACCTAGGGAAAGTGGGAAAGGTGCCGATTGTTCTTAGTTGGATGGAACACTGAGCATGGTGATGATACACTTGGTAATTATGTCTGGTTTGTGTGGGTGCATAAGGATGAATTAAGCTGGATAATCGTCCCTGCTGCTTTTCAGTGGCTTAAGAGAGAGTTCATTTTAGTCTTTGTTCTAGGGGAACAGCTGCCCTTAACATGATAAAGATTAACAAACATATCCTCTTCCCACTGCAAGCTTGTGAGATAAAAACAAGACTGTGGAACATGAGTAATTTGCAGAGAAAGACAAAGGACTATTTTAAAAGACATATAAGACCATCATCACTTTCAGATTTACTTCATGCAGAACAGTATCAAGTGTGATTGATAAGGCAGTCCCACAAAAATTTTACTGCTATTCAAAAGACTTACTTGATGGCGTTAGCAGGGTGCAGTGTATTTCCTTAAAAGTAATCTCTATATAAAAATCCCAGATTTAATATTATTAATCAGAACAAATCAGGGAATCGAGGTAATTTGGTTTTGGATGAAAATAATGTCTGTACAAGTACACAGTTACAATTATTTTTAATTATTTTAGAAATTTCATTCACAGTTTTACAGACTAACAAATAGTACTTGAAAGTCTTGAAAATACCAGCTTCATGCTGACCATGAAAAGGTACACATAATCAAAGTGCTGTTAATGTGTTGGATAAAAACCTTCACCTGATTATTGCAACTAGAAAAATTGCAAGAGATATTTCCATAAGGTTGCTCAAGGTTTTCTTTTTGTAAATCAAAATAAAGTGGGTGAGCAGAAGCTGTTGCTCCTTCCATTTCATCATTATTATTGTTATTATTATGCATTAAATAGATATATAGGAATGTATAAAAAAAAAACAACAAAAAACCCCTAAGAACACAGGGAAGGAAGGACTTAAGTCTGTAGCTTGGATCACTCTGAAGTGATTTTCTGACGGGTGTCACTGTTTTGCCTAAACTTGACTTTTCTTGACATGCGGGTTGAAATTTCACAAACCTTTTCTTTATAAATACATACTTTACTCCCCAAAAAAGCAAAGACTGGTGTTCCTTTTTTTAAAATGTTTTCCCCATGTTAAGATACTTGTCATACTCTCCATGAAGACTTGTTTTATAAAAATGTGCCAGGCCAGGACACAATTGTGAGAGTAATTTTTCCTTTTAGTTCTTTGAGCATCCTTGCCAAGCAGGCATGCATCATTCCGGATGTGTTCCTGCCATTGACAGCAAGGAGGATGTCACCGCATCTGAAAAGATAAATGCAAGACAACAATTAAACGAGGTGACTGCTTATCTTAAATGTTTTCAAATGCCAAAGCACATCCTTAAGCTGGGGGAAGGGTAGAAATGAGTATTATGGTTCCTTATGTGGCTAACTACTGTTCATGAATGTGGGAATAAAGCACATGAAAATACTTCACTTGTTTGGGTTTCTTACAAATATATAATTATTGAGACGTATTTGAAGGAAAACATGATATAGTTCTTCTGATGTTCATTCTGATGAATCATCACAGAATCATAGAAGGGCTTCAGTTGAAGGGACTTCAAAGATAATCCTGTTCCAATCCTTGCTCTGGCCAGGGACACCTTCTACTAGACCTGGTTGCTCAAAGCCAAGCCAACCTGTCCTTGAATATGGAGAAGGCATGCACAACTCTGGGCAACCTGTTCCAGAGTTTCACAAACCTCACATGAAATAATTTCTTTTTGATATCAGTCTAAAACTACTGTCTTTCAGTTTAAAGCCATTGTCCCCTGTCCTGCTCTACATACCCTTGTAAAAAGTCCCTTTCCAGCTTTAGATACTAGAATGATCCATGTTCTGAACAACTGCACCTTTTAAGCCTTGTTAATTGATGTAAGTTTGTGCCATAATTGTGCATTTACTCTCTTCAAGTGTATTGGTGTTTGCAGGGAAGGTGTTTGGTTGGGGTGTTTAGAACTGGAGATGTGGGAAATCTCTGTGCTGGCATGCTTTGTACCACCCCAGAGATCAAACTGACTCTTCTTTTAACTTACATACTAGTAGATTGCTAGACATGCGAAAACATTCTGCTATGAGGGCAGATCTGTTAAATTTCAGGCTACCTGTGTCCTGTTTTCATATCTCCCAGAGCTACTTCTGTATCAGTGAGTCCTTCCCCCATCTTAATGAAAACATGTTTTTTAAAAACTCCCACAAGTTAACCAGAAGAAGAACTTACTGAAATGCTACTTTTTAAAGATAGTAATCATTACCTAATTCTGCCATCATTATATGCTGGTGTTCCCCCAACAATGGATTTGATAAAGAATGGTTTGTTCCCAGTATGTTCTTCATAACCTCCTACGATGCTGAAGCCAAGACTTCCAGATGTATTTCTTCGTAATACAATTTCTTTGCAGCTGTACAAATATCTGAAATAAACCAGTTTAATTAAATGTCTTATAGTTAACTTTAGATTCTGATGAACCACTAATAATGAATCTGCCTTTTCATGGACCCATACACTGTTTTTTAAAATAGTGCCATATTTCCACTGTATTAAGCACCTACAGTTCTCTTCTGTTCCTGTAGTACTGCTTTCCTGTTACATCCAGATAACCGGTTATCCCAAAAGTAAAATTAGTCTTGGGCTTGAGCGTTAAAGAAGTTTCTTGTATAGGGTAGGAATTATGCAAATGCTCTGGTTGATGTGATGGAGAAACGCACTTAAGCCTGGATTTCATGTTTGTAAATCAGCAATTCAAAAAGCTGTGTTTCTTCTACCTTGCACACCCCAACGACTTGTTTATCTTCCAGATATGAGCCTGTGTGTGATTAATTATGTCCAAGTGCTCAGGCACTTACTACTGTGGTGCATGTCAAAGTGTAATAATTTGAAGGCAAATTGAACGACTACAAAAATGACAGATTACACAAAGACAAAATTAGTAGAATTAGGGATCCTGAGCTTTTCTTTTTGAGTAACCTGATAAGTCACAGCATGGAAGATGAGAGAAACTTGTGCATGTGAGTCAGTGCTTTGGAGTACTGAGTCTGCTCTTAAGAAGATAGCTTGTCCTTACTATAATGATTAATACAAGATTTTGTAGTAAGAGAACTGAAATCTGCATCTCCATTTGTCTTTTGAATGTATTTTATGATACTGTTATGCTCATCAAAGCCTAGGTTCAAAAACTAGGAATAGGGGAGAACTAAGAATAGTGTTATTAGGCTCTTAAATGTTGCCTAATGCTCTGAGTACATTAATTTGTTTCCTTTTTTTTTTTTTTTTTAAACCAAATTAGTTCAATTTGTTAGAGAGTGAGTGATAAAAATTTCTCTCCATAATACTTTACCATCTTATCCTTAGTGGTGTCCCCAGGAATGACTGAAATTTCTGAATGACTATAAATATATTTGCTACTCCAAATCTTAAAATATAGGCTGACCTACAGCAGGTAACTGTTACAAGCTCTATTCAGAGACTTTTTAGGTTTCTAGGAAGCACCTGACACTTCTATAGGAGGATAAATAGCCTTTATGTTAAAGACTGACATGCCTAGTTTTAAAAATTGTATTTTAAATAGTGCATTTGCTGTCTTTCACAGCAGTAACACTAGATTAGTCCCCCAGGGCCTACAAATATTCACCTGCTGCCAGGATGGTACGTTTGTAATATTTGCACAAGAATTCACTGCTTGCTAATGTAAGAAACAGGTGACATTTGCTTCTTCCTCAGCAGCCAGGCATTATTACTTTACCGTCTGTGGACTTCTTCAATGTGCTAAATCACTTAAACCCTCTATGTTTGATGGTACTTATCAAGGTCATGACCAAGTAGTGCCAGGATCCAGCCCTTAGTGCTGTAATTCAGTGTTGATGTTGGGACAGAGGTCTCTGCTGCCCAGTGCTACCCTCACTGCCTTAAGGAGCACATTCCTGAAATTGAAAGGTAATCAGCTAAATCCTAATGCCATAGAACAGTAGGCAAGCAGGTAAGGACGGGAGGATAAAAGGCAGTGAAGCCAAGCACACCAAGCACAGAATGTGCATTCTCTACATGCAATCTATAAAGTTATTAGTTGCATGGTCTCCATCAGTCCAGAAAGCATAATTATATATTTGCTGTCAAAGTGTATGATAAATTTAAGTAAAATAGACACAGCATAAAAGCATTAGGATTGTTCTCTCTGCCAGAGCACAGAAAACACATAAAAACCAAGGAGCAGCAGAGAGCAACCACACAGTTGTGACTCCAAGACCCTGCTCTGCCTTTTGCCTCACCAAAGGGACTGGGTGTAACCTGCTCTGACAAGAATGCAGTGGAGACATGGAAGTCAGGAGAAGAGGTGCTGGTGTGATGGTCAGTTTGGGAAACCCCCTTTTCTCCCCTTTTCACAAAATATTGACAAGATGGTCTTCTTGGGTTCCCCATACCCAAACTGGTAATTAAATGTTTTCAGTTATGAAAGCCAAGTCTGCTTTGGCCATGACAATAATGAGTGAGGGATTTCCTTGTCTATTGACCAATGAGTTTACTCACTCTTCTCCTTTTCACTCACCCTCCTGCGGGTGTTGGTGCAGGCAGGTCCAACCCATCATGACAGCCATAGCTAGAGACTGACTCTTAAAAGAATAGGAGTGTCTAGGACGTGTTTATGCCTTTTAATTCAATGTTTTCTAATCTCCATCCTGTGGGACAGAGGTATAGGCATGACAGCGCATCAGTGCTGTTCAGCGCTGCCACGGCTGTGAAAAATGCTGGCAGGCAAAGCTGAGCTGTATGGAATGCAGGTACTGCTTGCTCCAAAGATTTCTGTGCCTAAGCAGAGATGCCTGCTCTGCCTAAGCCAAGAGCAGCCCAAAGGGAGTCCATTCTTTTAGGGCTGTTTAATCATAAAGACAAGCTACAAAGTACCATGGAGAAAAGATAAAACAATATGAAAGCGCTTAGTGCGTTTGAGTAGCTCATGTTTCTGTGATAATGAAAGCCCCAGTCCGGGTGTTTTGACCCAGTCAAAACATAACCCACTAAACCATACCCATAACCCACTAAACTGCAACTGGTCTAAGGAGAACCATCTCCTTGGAAGACAGCAGCTCACAGTCTTCAGCCTTTGTCATTAAATACTCCAGAAGATGAGGATAAGGAATAATTTATGTGTGAACCTGCCTCAGATACAAGATTGAGGGATATACAGTGTCTAGCCACACGGTCCTACCTTGAGCAATACAACTAAGCATCAGTTACTGATGCATAAGGAATTTAAAAGTTTTTAAGAAAAGCCTGTTTTCAAGTAGTTAAATGTGCAATTCCCTGCTGATTTTCATAAAGCACAAGTAGCCTTATGCTCTAGGAATGAAAACCAGACCAACTGCAGGAGGATTTCAGCACTAACAGCTATGAAAAGAATAACTCTCTCCTCCCTCCCCATTACAGTACACAAATGGCAGCCAAATAAGTAATCTTTGAGAATTGTTTCCACCAGTGTTCTACAGCCTAGACCGAGTTACTTTGGAGGTGTTTCTGTCCCAATTTCATGTTTTACAACTTGTTCTACTCCAGGTTTGCAGAATGACTTTGGCCACCTTGTCTCTTTCTCATCTCACTTTACAGATGAAGAAAAGCACTTGCGTGAAGTACTAATGTTTGTAAATGTTATGACAGGACGATCTAGAAAGTATTCTAAGTACTAGCTGAGGGAAGGAAATGTGAGGAGAGCAAAGAAAGGAGAGCAGGAAAACAAGCAACGGTAAAAGCAGCATCACAGAGCTGGGGAAATGCTCTTTGCCAGCTGTTCCCCGTTATTTCCTTTGTGCATGCTTCACAACAACATGTCCCTCTACCAATAAAGGCATTCTGTCTTCCTAAACAACAAACAATTAAATTAGCTACCCTGAAATAAGACTTGGGGCGAGAATGCTTAAGGCCCTGCATCACTGTTTCCTCCCGCCGCCCAGCCGCAACCCCTCCGCTTGTGTGCAGGCCAAGTTTTGACAGATGTCAGATGCACATGTGCACATATTTTATAACCACCACATATTGGATCGTACTACAGAAAGGACAGAGGAGCTGTTTATGTATTATTAAGCCATACAAAAGTGGGAAAGCCCAATTCTAAGATCTTGCAAGAAAAGGACAAAATTTAAGTGAGATCCACAAATGCTAAATTAGCAGGATGGCTTTTCCAAGTCTTTGAGCTTTGGTGCAAGGGATCAGATAACTTGTCTGATTCTGCTGCTACCAACTTCATGCAGAAAAGTTATATAGCTCCCTAATTCTCAATATTTGTGTCTCTTGTCTGTACCCATCTCTGTAATATGCATGCAGTCCCTGGGAAATGAAGAGTTCTGTTGTAGTGTTGAAAATCAGGTATTTACAGTAAGCTACTTTGCATCTTGTAACTATTATTAATGTTAGCCTGCTTTCTACTTCATTGATCATGGACAGAAGTCTGTAGATATGCTCTAGTGTTTAGTTCAACTCAGCACATTTTGTGGTACCATTCACAGGATTTTCCTCAAAATTTCATGGATTTGGAACAAAGGAAAGACTCTCCTGTCCCCTCAGTTTCCTGAGCCTGAACATCCCACTCTAAATTGTGAGGTCAAGCTGCCTCTGAACACCCCACCTTGCTTGCTGTGAACAGATACACACACTGCACTGCCAAGGCTTGGCTTGAGCCACATCTTTCCTTTCTCTAAAGAATTTAAATAATCTACTATCCAGCTTCCTCTTTTTAAACTATGCCTGTTCCTGGCCTACCAGTTTTACTGCCTTTTCTATTTGTTCAGTTTGTCTCATATAGGTGTGCCCCTTCTTGCTCATCTTCCCAAGTACTTTTCATGATCCTGCATAATAATGATTTTAACACTTGTGCTTTTCTGTTAGCTGTAGCAAACATTTTTAGACTCATAAATCTTGGAACAGTCCTTCTAGTAAATTTTTTTAATTAAAGTAGGTGATTCTTCAACATTTTGCCCCATAATTGCCCTTCAGGCACTTTTTTCAAGATGGACCTGTCAGACATCTATTTAGACAGAGTAAAATTTTCTCTAACAGCCTGGAAAATGTCATGAGACTGCTGACAATATCTTGGGACCTAGTGAGATGTGATCCTTGCCAAAAGCAAACTGAAAGCCAGAGAAAGGTTAAATGCTCAGCCTGGAGCACAATGAGTTAACACGATACACATCCTTGTGAGAGAACTTGTTGAAGGACTTTCAGACATCTGATGTGGGCCCTGGAGAATCAGAACAATGAGTGAGTGAGCACAGTTATGCTTGGGAAGACTGAAGGGTCTGCTAATACCTAGTGAGCAATCCCAAACCTGATCCTCTTGTGCCCCTACTCAGCCAATCAGCTCCAGGAAGAAAACAGAGCACCTTTGTTACTGTCACATCTAACGCGCACTGGTCCCTGTCCCAGGCGCTAGTCTGATGTCCAGAGCAGCGTCCCCACTCAGCATACCAATGTCCCCATGTCTCTTTGAAGGAGAAGGGCCGTGCTGTGCTCTGTGCACGGCCTCACAGCTGGGGATAGAGTTACAATGAGCTCTTGTCTTCAGCCTTGCTGACACCGGGGCTGATTTTCCTTCAGACGAAAAGAGCTGGAATGCCTTCACACATGCAGCCTTCAGAGGAGGAAGGCTGAAGTGAACTCAGAAACTGTTTCTAAAACAGGAAAACTCATTTTACTGCCAAACTGCAAAGTGGAACTGACTGATGTGAACTCTTGAGTGCAAGCCTGCAGTACTGTGGAGCTCTGTTCTTCAGGTCCTCTACCATGCTAAGGTACTGGGAACTTCAGGCAGCTCCATGAAGGGCTGGCACAGGCAGGGTGTGATTGTTTCAGTCCATCTAGCAATGGATGGTGATAGAAGGCAAGACTCAGCACCGCAGATTGCAGTATCTATAAGGCCTCTGGTCTGTTGCTGTCTCTTCACTGAGAGCATTACCCGTGCTCTAGTACCTTCACTGTGGTGCTGGTCAAGCTCAGGAGTGCAGAAGTTAGCAGGAATGAGGATCTCCTTGGGCCTGCCTGTCTTCAGAGACTAAGTGAGAAAAATTTACCATTGCCTGGGGTAGCAAGGTACCATTTATTGCATTTTCTTTTTACTGCTTTTCTTTCACAGATATAAAGATGTAGTCCTCCCCACTGGAGGAGGAACATTTTGCCTGTGGGTTACAGACACACAGCCCACCTTTTGCTCTTGCAGTGCTTCAGCACATGTTATACAGTCATTAGCGTCAGACCAAGCCCTGAAAAACATCTGGCCCTCACAGCAGACCTTCCTGCAAGGTGAATGAGTTCAAAATGGCTCCAGCTAGAAAGAGCGAAACTTGTTATGCAAGAGTAGGAAATGAAGAGGAGTCCTGAAACTGTGCCTAGAGAAAAGCCCACCTGTTCTGCAGACCATCTTTTCCTGCCCTCCTGTAAAAGAGAGACACTGAACTGCTGCCAGAATTAGGAGTACAGTCAAGAGGAACTTAAAAGATAAATCCTTCATTCCTTAAAACTGAGTGTCAGTTTCAACTTTGTGATCCCAGCTTTGCATATTCACAGATTCACAATGTGTCCTCATTTCATTCTTTCTGGAATGTCCTGGAAGCTGTAGGTATTACACCATGCACACTGAGAGCTTAGTGATGGGCTATGTGGCTCTTATTATCCTTGCTGAAATGACAACACAGCTGCTTCCTGTGTGTGACAAATGGACTTCTTTCAGGCGGGGGTGGGGTTAAAAGAGGTGACTTGGACATGCTGGCCAACTGCACGAACTTTGCAACATCTGGGTAAAGTCAAACAATTCAGCTGGATTTGGCTAAGGAGAAGGGCTGTGCAGCTTGAGTGTTGCAGGAGGGGTATCTGCCTTCTGCAGGGTGGTTGAGTCTAAACTTCAGTTCAGCAAGCTCCTGTATCCCTGTAAGATTTTCCTTTCACTCCCTAAGTGCCAGATATGTTTACAAGATTGAAACAATTCAGCATCCTATCCTCCCTTGCGAGGGGAACTGCATGTCTATTTGGCCATGTACACGTACCCATTTACAAAAGGGAGGTATTTAGAGTCAACCCAGTGACAGAACCTGGATTTAATTAAGATGTCAGTGCAATGAATCAAGCCAAAAGAAAGTATTGCCAGAAAATACAAATCTTTCCTCCCACTCCCCCTCAGCAAGAGGTTGCAATCTGTGGACTTACCGTGGCAGCCCCAGCCACATAACCCAAGACGGTGACCACTCGCTGCTCTCGGAGGTCACCTGTGTGTCCTCAGGGGATGGTAGGTGACCCTGCTCCTCCTGGGCTTCACATGCTCTCATCTCCAGGGCTTTGAGCACCACTGAGGAGTTGGTGTTCTTCAGCAGGGCGACAGCCTCACTCCGGCTGACTCCTGTCAGATCAATCCCATTCACGTTCAGGAGGATGTCACCTGAGACCAATAAAGCTGATGATAAAAAACCCTGCAGTGTTTCCAGGATTCCCTCCCCACCTCCACAAACAAGTGAGTCAAATCCATGGCCAAGAACAGGCTGCCTGACGAGGCTTTTTGTTTTTCCTATTGTTTAATGAAGCATATGCTAGTAAACATGCCACAGGCATGAGGGAAGATTCCTGTACACAGAAACTTTTTGCGTGGCTGGACAGAGGATTTGTCCTGGTTTCTTTCCACGTCATGTCCTGCATCTGGAGCTGAACAAACAGCTGGGGTCCTGCTGTACCAACAAGCTTTGGTACTGGTGCCTAGTACTGATCCAGGTCTCTGGAGTCCACTTCCAGCTAACAACATTTGTACTCATCCTAAGCTTGAAACCCAACAGCTCAGTGATGTTTTTTCTCCCAGCTCTCCCTTAGCAGAGGACTGCCACTCTAATTGGCTCTTCCTAGGTTGCTTCGTGGAATGACATGTTATTATTTTCACATTAATGCCTGTTTGAATGGCTGCAAGCCAAACCATTTTTCCGTATGCCTTATTTATAATACAGGCACAGCAGCCACAGAGAAAAATGCAAAGATGACCTCAATTACTACAGGAAGAACAATAAGGACATCACTAATGTCATGCAAGCAGCCTCAATGCCAAGTGCTCTGCAACCCTTCATAGCAGGCTCCCATGCCAGGGCTTTTCTGGGTGCCCTCTGTGCTTGGCCTGGATGCTTCTCCAGGCAGAGATGTATCACTGGCAGTCCAGGTGCTGCAAATGAGCATTAGCCTCTTCTTGTGGTCTGTCCCCAATAAGAAGGACAACAGCCTAAGAGCTGCTCAGAGGCCTACGGTGCTATTATAACATCACATATTCATTTGTTTCTAATTTTATCAAATTAACTGGGCTGAGTTTTCCATGCTGCCTCATGATGAATACTTTTTGGAAATCCCACTGAGAGGTAGTCATCTCCCAGCAGAAAGAAAGGGGTAATTTGCTGTTTTGCTCTTGTTGTGTTCTCACATGGGTTTCATTGAGTAGACACAAAGAGGAAGTTCCCATGTGTGCCAGTGCTGGGCACTGAGACCCAGGCTCCTGGGGTCTGACTGGGTTGCAGCTATTCTGCCCCATTTTTAGGCGCCTTCACTTCTCTCAAACTCAGGATTTCCCTCCAGAAACTGGAGCTCAGTGACTGGACTGAAGGAGAATATAGGGGATGAAGGGTGGGTGAGCTGTGTCATTGCTGGATGCAGGCTACTGAGGGATTTGCTCTTGAAGATGGAACATCCTGAAACCTGAGAGTTTCCTCTGCTGCCTGGCTACTCCCACAAAACCAATTGATCAAATATGGTCCTCATCTTGCTCTAAAAGCTTATTCACACAGAAGGGGAGAAACTATTAGCTTTACCATTTTGTTACATCAGTAGCTAAATGGGGTTAGGAAGCCAATATTTCCAGACACAAGTTTCAGCCACAAGGCACTAATATGGCTTCGTATATAATGGGAATTTTGATCCTGTATATTTCATTCAAATTCATTAATGCAATGACAAATAAGCAAAAAAAAAAAAAAAAAAAAAAAAAAAAAAAAAAAAAACAAAAAAAACAAAAAAACCTTTAAAAACACATTTAAGTTGCCCAGTGAATGTATCAGGAGTTAGGAGATGGTGGTGCAAGCTAATTTTCCTGTGAAAAGCTATTTACCTTTTTTTCTATCAGAATATTCCTATATCCTGTTCCACAGAGATATGCATATTATGCCTGCATAATTATGCCTTTTCTGGTAGCTGACTTGAGACCCTCTAATCCAACACATCCCAAAATCTATAGGATTGCTGAAGATGTCAGAGTGTGAAGCTCTTGCACTATCCCCCAGTTTTCAAAAGAAGCTCTTGATTTAAAGCAGGCTTTACAAAATCCCCCCTTTTTACCTGTTTTTATCCTGCTGTCTCTGCTGATCACTCCTCCAGGTTCCACACTTATCACATAGATAGGCAAATCCCATTCCCGGTTAGATGCTCCACCTGCCACAGTCATTCCCAGTGATTCTGTGTGATCTTTCCGGACAGCCACCACCTTCTCATGACAGGTGACAGTGTGAAGGGTGCTCTGTGATGCAGAAAATAGCAACAACAAACACAGTTTGTGGGCATGGTGGCCTCCCTGACGGCTTTGGCATTTTCTACCAAAACAAACATTCATGGAAGTAACACCAAGACGCTTCCCAGCCACCTGGCCTGATGGCCAGCAGGACTCCCTCAGGGCCTTAAGCATCTGCACCATGTTACCACCAAGATAACTGTGCTTCAATAGTTAAAGTCAGGCACTGCTCCCATGAAAACCAGAGTTGTTTTAGTGCTAAGGCTAATAGAATCAGGTCCTTGAAATGTAAATAAGGAATTTGATTTTAAAAGAAAAAAAGAGTTCTTGATAATAATATCACTAGTGGCCATCATATCTTTTACTATCAGATTGTGCTTCTTATCCTGCTGCTTGCAGTCTGAGCATCATCTGTATAGTTAGTGAGAAGTAGTCCTCTTGGATTTGAGGAATGAAACCATTGGGGACATATTAGAAGAGACATATTTCATTTGATCTTCCATATATCTGTGTTTCTTTGTGAGTTATGGGTGGAAATACACTTGAAGAATAAGTGTTTCTGTTCAGGAAAAGAGAAGGATATTCACAGTGAAGAGCCAGCAGTTTCCCGGGTGCTCTTAGTGTTTCTGCTTGAAGGGTCAGTTCAGGACAGCCATCCTTATATTTCTGCCTCTGAGCAGGAAAAGTTAAATACACACAGCTGGTCATGCAATAACCAGTGCGTGAGTGAGGGTGCAACAAACCCACAGGTGCCCTCGGGATGGAGAACCACTGCAATGCAAGCTCCAACAAGACCTGTGAACTGAACGTCATGTTTACCATACACTCAGTTCTTACAGAAGGCAAATAAATCTGGATTTAAATGTTAATTGCTTTGCTCTCCTTAAGTATTTCACAAGCAGTGCTCCTGACATCAACTCCTGACAATCCCAGCCCCTCTTGCAGGAACAGCATTATCCATTCCAGGCTCATGTACAATAGCACGCTTCTAAATACATTTCAAATGCGTATTTAAAAGACTCTTCTCATTCACAAATGTGACCTCATATTTGTAATATGCAAAAATAATCTATAAAACTCATTTAAAGCCACATTAATCTCTTCTTAGAAATCTGACATCTCACAAAGATATTTTACATTGATTCCTGGGCCTGCAGCATGGAAAGTGGAGCAGATGAATCCACAATGTCTCCCTAAGTGACAATGACAGGACAAAGGAAAATTATGGCAAGTTTTTTTTTTTATGGGAATAGGGCAGACTATGTCTTCGTGCTTTTTTTTTAAAGGTATGTATGGTGGAACTAACTCCACATCAAGATTTCTGTGATGCAATGTTAACAACAAAATATAGGACCTTCTAGAAGCTTAGCAAAGGATTTCTCTGTGCTTGAGCAGATGAACAGTAGCTGCCACAGAGCTCCAGAAACAAAAAGGCAAAGAGCTCGGTGGAAAGAATTCTCTCAGTCTCTGAGAGAAAACCAAACAACACAGTTGTTTGGACATATGAGACGTGGTTCATGCAGAACATAGGCACTATGTCAGAATAATTTGGCTTGGGGCTTGCAAACAAACCTATGAATTTCTGAAGATTTTAAAACCTTCGGAAAGTGTTCTGCTCCAAATAAATTTTATGTTGTGATCCAGATAATTTTAACCTTTCACCTTTTTCTTTAAGGGGCAAATATTTGAAACATAATAGTTCTATCTTTATGCAAATTAAACTTAATGTTTCATCCATGTTTTGCAAAAATATCCTTTTTCCCTTGAAAATGAATGGCTTTCCACCAGGAAAAGGCCACTTTTTCAAACATGTGGGATAGGGGCGCTACTAATTTTCCCAAAATCGCAATCTGAAATTCTGTAGCAAAACATGAAATTGGGATTCTATTTGTGGCTCTGAGTGAGAGAGCAGTCCTGTTACTTATGCAGCATACATCTCACCTCAGACAACAAAAACATTAGAGCATTAGTGGGTTTATCAGTATTTTTTGAGGAATCAGCACAGGGAGAAAAGATTTCAAAGTACTGTTTAGGAACAAATTGTCCTGCTACATTTCAATGAAGAATTATAGAAGTACCAGTACTTGTATGCTGAACCACAAAGGACCAATTTTCTTTTGAAGCTACTCTTTCCCATGTCATTTTTTTATATGGCTGCAGACAGAAAGGATTTGGGGTGACTTGACTGAGACAAAGGCAGTGATGAAAGGAAAGCGAAGCCTTTTTTAGTAAACACACGTAGAACTCACTTGGAGGTATAATCGATAGCAAGTAAACCAGTTAAAAGGCAGTGTTTATCACTGACTGCATTTCAGTGCATTCTCTTCTAAACAATTGTCCTTCTCCGTCATTTTGAAGTGACCTTGGAGGTCAGGAGAAGAAAAACATAACAGTTCATCTCCTCCTCTTTTTATTTTTTCCTCCTTTTCTGTATATTTACTGGAAAATAAATATTTACAGCAGATTATCACAACATCAAAGCCATGACACGTGTCTTGCAGACAACAAAAAACATCTCTGTGTCTGTTTGGAAAATGTACTTCACCTGAAGGTTAACCTGCTCATATGGTCAGGAAACATTGCCTGCTCCATTTTCTTTGCCTAAGTCAATTTTTTTGCTCTAAGTACTAGACAATTAATTTGAAAGAAATAAGAAAACAGTTCCAATTAAAAACAAGTGCTATTTAATTAATGGCACAGCTCCCAGTGACTTCAAAGGAATTGAATCAGGCCTGTTTATATGTTACAGCCTGGCTTCACAACCTCAGCTGCACAAGAAAGTGTTTGTGACATCTCTTCTCTGAATGTCGGCAGCAGCCAGGAGAGTTTGGGCTGTGCTTCCCCAGTCTCTGTACAGAGGAAAACAGATCCATGAGACCCTGGGCAGGACCAATCTCTTGGCACACCACACACCTGGCATTGTTGCCACAAGAGAAGGACATGGTCACAAGAGATCAGCCTCTTTTTATCCAGAACCTTGTGGGCAACATGGCTGGTCACCACTGGCCTGGAAGAGAGGCACCTCCCCACACTGTACAGACTGGCTGTACAGATGGAGGATGGCTGTCCTGAGGCCAAGAGCTTGGCCCAAAGTGGCTCCTGAGCCACTGCATGAGCCACTCAGCTGCTGGAAGCTAGAGCTTATTCCTGATTCTGAATACGGGATTGAGAGCAGATTTCAGCCCATGTACACATACATGCTCTACAGTGAGAGCACTTTCACTCAAAGAGAGCATTCCTGACCATCTAATATCACTTTCCTCAGTAAGCTCAGGGTACAAAAAACACCTTAAAACTAGCCAGAAATCAAGGCAGCTGGCAATCCTCTATTAATGACATATAATAAAGCAATCCCACTGATGGCAGTAGGTAGCAGACTCCTCAGACCACACACACACAGGAGACTCCCCTGACAATGAGGTCCAACCATTTCCTTGGTTTTTGGGCAGGAGCATGTGCTGCATTAGGACACTGTACAGCCCCTAGGCTTGCAAGCATTACTCCTGCACTAATGCCTACTTAAAATAAATAACATTTTTTAAATCTTTCAAAGCCAATTTAAAAATCTTGAATTGCAAATTATGTTCAGTTAAACCTTCAGCAAAATATCATGAAATATTTAAACTGACAGAGTCATGCCCTATAAAAGGGCAACTAACACTCCAGTAATGTTTGCATCAGACCAAAAGTCCACAGTGCCTGAAGCTCATTGTGTCTACTGGCTGTACTGATCTGCTGATCTACTGCCAGAGCATTTTCTCCAGTAGAAGCCCTCTACTACATACACACAAAGCTAAAGGGAGGTAGGAACAGTTCAGAACTTTCTTTTTTTTGGCTGTGCTCTTCCCTGGAAAGTGCCCAAATGGTGGCATTGGACAGAAGCCCACAGCAGTACACCCACTCATGTGCTTGTGCAGTACTCATCTCTTGTGGAAAACTGGAAATCCCCCTAAAAGCTGTGGCCTATGCAACAAGAGATGATTCATTAGTCCTTATAGCACTTGCTCATTAAAGGAGTGTAATGAAGCTAACATTGTGCCTTCAATCTCACAGCTACCCAAAATATTGTGGGACTTACCGAGAGCTCCCATCCAACATCTCTTGCTACAGGAAGAGAAAATGAAGCTCTCAGGGCAGAGAGAGACAAGCTGTGTTCCCAAATAATCCCGTGTGGTATCAATTAATTACTCAGACCAACATGGTATTGTTAGCAGGTGCTTGGATCTTCCCTAGGAAGCATACAGTAGCAACACAAGCTAATTGCTGTCCTTCACATATATTCCTAAGGAAATCATTGCTTCATTAGAAAGTCATGCCTTGCAGATGCATGATTAGCTGGACACTATTTGCTGTTTGGTAGTAGCTACTGAACACTGCCTGCTTTCTGTTTTAACTCGTGCTAATTTGGTCCCACCGAATAAGAGCTGTGATTGTGACCTTGTGGAAAAGGAAAACTAAAAATACATAAATATATACTAGCATTTTTAACACATAAAACAACTGAATAATGTAGTTTTAAAAGACCTGCAAAAATGGGTATATTTTAACATTTGTAAAATCCAGAGCTAGACTTGTCTCCAGGCTGACAACTGTGCACCAAATATTTGGTCCAGAGGTCCCTTTAAGGACACAACTGGCTATCCATCAATTAGGATGAACTTAAGCCCTGCCTGCACACCTCCCTGATACACCCCTGGCACCAGTGGCTAGGGTCAAGCTTGCATGGGTTTGCATAAGTGGTGACACACAGGGTGATTAATGTAAATTAGCCCGACACGTGGCTTCAAATTTAGTGAAATAAACAAATCCAGTTCCTGCAAGGACATGCCTTGTTCTGTCTAAAGTGGAAAGAATAACACTGAGCAAGCTCAGAAAACATATTTTCAAAACTCTAGCTGCATTGGTTCCTACTCAAAACCTCGTATGTTTGAGCATCAGCATCTCTCTGCCTTAGGCAAAGAGAATATTGTGAGTCTAGATGCACTAAACACACACTCTGACCAGGTACACAGGGACAGCTGGGGCACAGTTTGGTAATCACAGCCACATCTGGGTGAGATGGCTGCTCTGTGCTGTGTCCCTGGTTGGTGCTGCACACCAGCAGCCCTTGCAGACCCCACACCAGGCAAGTTCCAGGTGCTGCCAGAGCAGAACAAAAATGCTTTGTGTCTAAAGCTTCACAGAAAGTCCTCGTGCTCTCAGCAGCCAGGGCATTTTAATAAATGAGCAACAGCCTAATGATGACCATAATTTTCAAGTAGGTTATGGGAATCTTTCAGGCCAGCATGTGAAAGCTTTTTGTCTGAAGACTATGCTACAGATGGCAAAACTTCAGAAAAAATTTCTTTTGGTTGGAGCGCATTGTCCTCTGCAGATTCACACTGCTGGTCAGATCTGTGGCCATGGCATGCACCACCACTGCCCATTACCTTCTCTTTCCCTCCCCACACCAGGCAGAGCCAGGGCAGAAGCAGTGGATAAATAATAATGAGCAGCACAGCCTTTGTGTTTCCATTGCCAAATAAGACATGCTTTTTCTGGTGACAGAAGCCAGAGATAACACCCTTGGACATACAACACTAGCTGCCCTCCCATTCCCCTGTCCCAGCAGAGACACCACCCAAGTGCCCTCACCTTGCCGGGGGTGTTTCTCTCGGCGGGACAAGGGTGGGAGCTGCCAGCACTGGAACTCCAGCCCGTCTCCTGCAGCAGGTCGGGGGTCTGCTGCCTGCTCTGCCGCGACACCACGAAGTGAACCTGCTTCTCGCTGGCCTGCGGGAGGAGCACAGTGTGAATACCATGGTGCAGCAAACCCCTGCACCCCAGCCCCAGAGTGTCTGTGAAATGCAGGAACCACTTAAACATTGGTTGGATTTCCCGTTAATGAGGTTGCTATGACATAAGCAGCAGCATCAGTTCAGGTCAACGAAGTTCATAAAAGTTTACTGCCAGCTACTTAATATTTCTCTTGAAAATTTGGTGTTAACTCTAAAAAATCCTTTCTATCTCCCCCAAATTTGGCTGAAAGCAGTGCTCCACCACAGTGGGCATTGATCAGCTTTCACCTACACCTGTGTATACCACTGCAAAGCAGCAATTTGCCTGCCATGGTAGAGAGACAGGCAGACTACCAGAGCTGTTGCTGCTTGATGAATGGAAAAGCTAAAAAAGATACAATTAACCCAGAAACCAGGGATGTGCTTAGGCTTGCCCGGTGAAAGTGGGGAATAAACAATGTAATTAAGTCCACCTGCATGCAATGAGCATGACAAACGTAAGGAAGCTTGAAGAAAGGGAGAAAAGGTATTTTCTTTAGTGCAATAACATCCTACTGCAGCAGAGCACAGAGAAAGAGGGTGGGCATAAGCAAGCACACAGGATAATAAAGTTTAGGATGGGAAAGCAGCTCACAAACTCTCACTCTAGGAAGAGCAGCTTCAAAGCAGATAACCCAAGCTCAAAGAAATAAACTAAACTAAACTAAACTGAAGAACAGTGTAGCAATATCCTCAGTGCTATAGAAGCATACTCAGAAGAAGGGGCTGCAGATGCATTGCTTGTTGGTACCACAGCCCCTGGGGCTGCAGACATTCTGGCTCGCTTGCTAGCACTGCTCACTGGGGAGAAGCTCCAAGGAAAGCTGGCATTGAAGAAGCAGCTGAAAACCAAACCCAGATCCAGTTGCACTATTGAAATCAAATCTCCCACAGACAATTAACAGAAGCCAGAGGAAGCTTCTGGGAATTTTGTTTTTATAGCTTGGTTTGTCCTTTCTGGAGCTGAATTCAATAGCTGTAGCTGAGAGTTTAAAAAAGCTTTGGAAAAATGTCATTTTAGTTAAGAAAAAGCAACCTACCTCTCCTAAACCTCCAACTTCAAGCTTGAAATGTACATGTTCAAGCCATGTTATTTTCAGTGAAGTAAAAAATGTGCATGTCTTTGTTACTTTCCCAATATCTTGGGGGATGCTAGTTTTTTTACTAGAAACTCAAATCTTCACAGCTTCATAGTATATCATTTGGTGCAAACACACGTATTTCAAACCTCTGGACTCTGGACTCAACTAGTACCCCAAAACAGAATTCTGTATGTTGGAAGAAAGGAAACCACCCTGGTCCCTAGTTTGTAATATGACTGAGATGGAACTGAACAGCACAAGATTAAACGTCCCAAGGGCATGTGGCCCTATGAAAATACAGTTTTCTCAAAAATGAACAGTTTCAACTTAACTTCTTTTTGAAATTTATCTGCTGCCACATGGTAAGCCTCAAAGCTGGTTATTTAGAGAAAGGTTGTAAAACATGATTAATTCTCATAGAACAACTAGCAAAAGTTCAACAAGAGTCTCTGTTGCAATGGCACATTTGTCTACGGGCCAGTCAAGCTGAGTAGTTTCTCAGAAGTCAGAGTGGTTTAGAAAGTTATCCAAACAACAAGAACAGCTTTTGTATTTACATACATGTGAAAACCCATTAATGTTTCTACTGATCAGATTATTTATTGCTGATTCATTCTGATCTCTCCCTCCCTCTTACCAGTGGCTTTTCCCACAATTCTTTCTCTATATTTTATGCTGAAGTGAAAAATAAAGAAAGGAGGTGAGCTTTGATACCAAGTGCAAGTCAGAGCTGAAACACTCTTCTAGAATTAAAATCTGTTACAGCCAAGGCAAATCGAGCGGGAAGGCAGAGACACAATGGAAACTTCTGATCATCTAGTGGGTAATTGCATTTTAGAAAGGGACACCAGGGCTGCTCTTGGCAGAAGCTGGCCCATGCCTCACTGGGATGATGGAGCATGGATATGCTCCACACCACAATCTGCTTGTCAGAGGTAGTTGTTGGGTAGAAGAGCTGCTCATCTGTTCCTAGCAGCTGCTCTGAGCTGTGGTGGGGGAAGGAGGTGAGGAGGAGGGTGAACATCTGGGGTCAGTAAAGTCTGACTCAGCCCATGTAGCTTGGCTTGATGCGCTCACATGGGCACCCCATATCTGTTACCTTGCACCTTTTCTTGTCACTCTCATGGAAAACAGATGTGGACTGTCTCGTTATTTAGATTCAAAGTGCCACTTCTGACACAAGGCCGTGGCTTAATGTGACAAACAGGAGGCAGCAAATTCCCAAGTGTTATGATGTGTGCACGTTCCTAATTAGCACTTACACATTTTCCTCATTTCAGTTCTTGTGACAGAGCTTAGACCTTATAAACAGCCAGACCCCTAATCTACTGATTAGCAACTGCTTCACATATGCTATTGTATAGTTTCTGTAGACCTCAATTGTCTCAATTATTCATTATTTGAAAGTCAAAAATAATCAGATTACACAGAAATCTGACAGTCTTCCTGCTGTGCTTGGTTTAACAAGCCACTGCACTTTTTAGTGAATGTTCTGTTTTTAAAGAAACTGATGTGTATTTGCAGCTTTCACCACCATAAATTAGAAGACCTCAATGCACTGCAAGTGACATGCTGAGCTCTCAACAGGCAGGAAGGATGCTGTTGAGAAATCAGAAGACACAGTGAAATAGCCCTTCGTGTAAGAAGCAAATGCAAAACACCTGTGGCTTCAGTATAAAGGTTTTTCTCTGGCATAACATGGAAACAGGAAAGGCAAATGATAATTGATGAAAAACATAACAAAAAGGACACAGGTTCCAGGAATTTTGCATCAGATAAATGTGATTCATAGAGCTCACATCAATGCAATATAATCCTGGCTGTTTGGAAACCTGAGTTGCCCCTTTCATGGGCTTGTTTAAATTCCCAGGGATTGGTGTGCATTTCAAGCATTATTATAGTTAACATCCACTCTTTGGAGACCAATAAGGGCTTTGGTTGCACTTTTAAACACATGTATGTGAATACTCTTGTTAGTTATTTTTTCCTTTTCATCTCATGTGTTTTTTGCTTATGAAGAACTGATGCCTTGTTTTGTAGCCATAAAGAACTGTTTCAAGAATAATAGCTTTTTAGAAAATTTTTCATTCCAGACTTGTTGCCCTCAGAGAATTTAAACCTTTCCCCTTTTGCCTTCTGTTCCCAGTTAGTGAGCTACATAAGGTAATCCAGAAAGGTCTGCACCAGAATTTCTACAACTGGCATTATGTAAGGGCATGGCGTTTTTTTCACCTATGCTATAAACTTCACAATAAAAGTTAGCTACAACCAACCGTGAATATATGCTAACACAGAAATCCTTTCCACAAAATGCATGGATTTGACTGTTTGTTTCAGTCTGACTGATATTACCCTGATTATACCCATCAAAAAGAAGAAGAAGCTGGCCTGATTTGACATCTTGTTACTGAAGCTCATGAATTTCTTCAAAATGTGAACAGTCTACATGCCTTCAAATGAAATGCAAAATTGCACAAGTATAATAACAGCTATAAATATGAGATAAAAGCAACAAAAGATTCTTGGCTTTGCTTTTTATGTGGAGGTTTTCTAAAAACAGTCTGCAAACAAAAAACCCAAATTGGTTCTGGATGAAAAATTAGGCAGAAGCTGACCAATTTTGCAGCTGAGAAAGGCATGGGGGTTTTTTTCATCAGACAGTTCTGTGTTAGCACCATTTAGTACTCCACATGAGTCTAAACAGAGATTAATAACTACAGATCCATTTCTCCAAAACAACTGGATTTCCATATACTGGATTTAGGTAAGAAATATCTACAAGGTGTGGACTACCTTTCAGTGGTAGTCCACTGCCTTAGTCTAGTGTGGTTTGCTCCAGGGCTGAACCAGAGAGCACTGTGACTCCTGAGCCAGAGGGTCAGGATTCTGCTGGAACCAGTGCTGCCAGGGTGCAGGCTGGCATGCCTTCGGGCAGCTGGCATCACTCTGGTGATGATCGGAGTGTACAGATGTTTGCACTGATCTATACTTTCCAAAATCTGATGGTAGCATGTGCCTCTGTGGGAGTCTATGCTCATGTTCACACCCATCCACAGTAAAACCAAGGAGCAGTCAGAGAAGTAAATTCCCCTCCAATCTTGACTCCTTCCCTCTTTCAAATACACAGACTCAGTGTTTGGCCCTTGCTTTGAAATGGATGGTGAAAAAACACTGCTTGGGTTTCTGCACAGCTCCAACCCCGTGGTTAAAGTGGGGAAGACAAACCTGTATCAGCTGGGCTGCGCTCTCCGGGCTGCCGTAGCGATGGTCGTGCCCATTGATGGCCAGCACACGGTCATTCTCCTGCAGCTGCCCATCACGGGCAGCCATGCCCCCTTCCAGCAAGTTGAAAATAAATACCCCTGGCTCGTCGGCCTTGCGGACCAGCTTTATTCCCAGCTGCTCATCCGGACTGCTCTTGTTTAGCACTACATGGAAGCTGTCATCCCTGTTGCAGTGAGCATCAAGGGAAAGTCCGCTGTTTCGGCACCGGTACCTCTGCTCTCGGAGCACAGTCAGTCGCAGCACGTGGCAGGGTTGCTTCAGGATTGACAGGGCATAGTTGTGAGGCACATTTTTGATGTCCAAGCCATTTACCTGGAATAGAGAAGTGTAAATCAGCGGCAGAAAGATGGTCTATTCTGAGCTGGCACTGAGGAGGGCAGATCTATATACACAGATGTCTTCATATGCAGTGACATGTGCTATTTCAAACTGTGTCAAGCAGGAGGCCAAGTTTTTGGTGCAGAACAATCTTCCCCGCAAGGAAAGGATGCACTGCACAGACAGTGTCTGTCCTTTTTCTTCCCCTCTCTCCCTGATAGTCTCCAGACATACACGTTAGTTTTCATCTTTCTTATTGCTCTTTCCCATGCTTCAATATCCTTTCATATATGTTAGTTTTATTCCACAGGCTTCTGATTTCAAATTGCCTTGCTAGCCTTTCTTTTCACTCCCACTGTTTTCCTGCTGTTTCTTTTCTTCTTTATCTCCCAGCTGTTCTAGGTACAGTAAAAAAAAAAAAAAAAAAATTCTTCGCTAATGAATCTCTAATTATAAAAAAGGAAAGAGCCTCAAGTACAAATTTAAATGCCTTGGATATTTACTAACAATTATGCTGATTTACCACAATAGAGAATCAGACTTTCCTTTTTTTCCTCAGTGTTTTCCAGGTAAGATTTAATTCAGATGAGAATAAAACTGTATAACTACGACTTTTTAAATTTGGCTGAGGAAAAGAAAGAGGAAAAAAGACTTTCCAGTCAATCCCATTATGTTCATATGTTCATAAGAATGACTAGGCATTGCACTTTATATTGCTAAATGAAAACCAGTTGCAAGATTATATTTCATCACTGGCTGAAAAACCTGAATCAGACAAGATATTTCCATGTAGCTTCACATTGCACAGGTTGAACCATTTAAATATTAAGAAACATCTCCAAAATGTAAGAGAAATACTCCCCAGCATGGATAAAAGCATTTGGCTGGTGGTTGCTTTTGCAGATTTCCTATGTGGGAACAACGGGGCTGTTCTGCTGCAGTCTGGTGGAGAGGACAGCACCCAGAGAGACACAGCTCACCTAGCTTTAAGTTGCTACCTTGGGTACCACAAACAGCATAAGCTGCATCAGGATGGGGCTGAAATTCACAGGAATCCTTGGTAAATCCTGGGCAGGCAGCCATGGCTGAGAAGAGCTAGGCTGGGCCCATCCGTGCTAGTCTCACAGCTTCATTGTGCAGTTTGGATGTGCCCTGCAGGAACAGCTTTGTCTTAGTGGTGCCATTAACTCTGCTGCTCTGTGCTGGCACCAGGACAAAAGGCTCCCTGAAATGCATAGCTGGGTGGTGGATGCTTATGCAGCTGCTGCTGGGAAACACCATCCAGAAGCGTTTTTATTCACTGCTACGGTGAAGTATGCCCACATCGTGATCCTGGGAAATCCCTTTGGCCAAGTCTGTCTGACTCAAAGCAGAAGGCATGGCACAACCTTGGCGTGCCTCAAGTGTCTTCAGCTACCACTGGGGTCAGCAAAAGCTAGGAAATCATAGTGCCTTACAGGTGGTGCTCTGAGCTTCAGAATGGCTTTCTGCATGCAACATAGCAAATCTCATCCTGATCAACTTCAACCATCTCATTCTTTGTCAGGATATTTTTATCTCGTACCTCCACAGTACTGTACCTTTAGTATCATGTCTCCAGGTAGCAATCTTCCATCTCTGGCAATGACCCCATCTCGATAAATATGCTGTATAATAATGTGAACCAAAGGGGTCTCACTGCCTCCCACGATCCTAATGGCCAGGTTTTCATGGGGATCAGTACGGCTGATCTTAATGCAGGTAATTTCCCCATCTGGAATCAGGTGATACAGCCTGGGAAAACCTGGAAATGCATATTGTAAGGTATTTATTTGACAGCACAACATTGCTTTGTTGAAACATGCATTGCACAACCTCAAGTACCTGCCAGTTAGTCAAGCTAGGTTTTATGCATGGATGTGATTTATACCAAGTGAGAAAAAAAAGATAAGTAAGCTTGCTGAATGGACTTGAAGGGATCTTGCTGCAATTAATATATTCAAACTTCCTTTTCCCCACTAAATACAGCCTTAAACCTTTGATGTAATCCAGACAGATTTAATGTACTTAGAGTTATACAAGTCAATATTTTAAAGGAATAAAATATATTTTTGGTCACAAGAGACACCTCGGAACCAGGCCACAGTTTCTTGCTGGCCCTAGAACAGATGGGCATGGGCACCTCAACAAACATCCATCCCTGCTGTGCTGAGTTGTAAACTCTGCCTCACTGGTAGCATCCCAGGCTGCCCTGCTTTCTCCATTTTTGGTGTCACAGTGGAGGACAGGGCTCTTGTCTTATGACATCCAAGGAAGCCTTTTATCCATCTTTAGCTACCAGAACGACAACAAACCAAAGATTTGGACAAACCAAAGCACGCAGTAGTTTCCCTACCAGACCTATGCTCTCCTCTCATCCCTGCTTGAACTCCAGGAGGTAGGAATGAGTGGCTCTTACTGTGATGTGTCTATTAAAACCACAGTGTGCTCAAAGTACCTGGAGGGAAAGATCTCTGCTGGCCCTGGCAATCTGGCTGTGGGGAGGAGGGACTAATGGTGGGCAGGGGTCCTTTTTGTATTTATAATGCACTGGATTAGAGTATCTTCTTCCAAACCCTACTTTTCAACTGGCATGTCTGATTTCACATCATGTCACTAATACTTTCTTTCCTTCTAGGTCAATTCAAAATTTTAATCCATATTTAGCAGTGAGCAAAGTTGAAGTAAAAGCAGCAGTGAATTTTCCAGCACAGGCATAGCAGTCTTCAATTATTTTGAATTCCCCAAAGCTCAGAGAAAATATTTAAACTTTTTGTATGTGAATCCAATGCAGTGGTAAGTCAAAAACCTGCAAGTCAAAAAATAAACTGCTAATATTTTTTCAATAACCTATTTTATAAATTAAAGTACAGTGAGTGTTAATGAACAGTGGTTAGTGAAAAATGAAACTTTATAGACCAAAATCTGAGATAGAATAAATATTTGCTACCACAGAATTAGCAGGCAACAAACCAGCAAGGCACCAAAACCTTTTGAGAGAGGGCAAGGGGAAAGAAAGAATAGGAAAAAAATATTGAGAAACACCATGTTGCATCCCTTACCACTTCTTTGATCATATGCTCTTCAGGGTGGGAAGCTGTCCTCCTCCACGTCTGTAAAAAGCACCTACCAGTAGCACAGACTTCGACTTTGTGGTTTTACACAGACTTGACAGGCAATAAAAGTCTGTCTAGATAACTACACAGCCTTCACCAACCTAATACTCAACGATTTATTCTTGTAATAGCAGTTTCTGTCTTAATACAGGTTTACTACAGTTTTGCAGGCAACTTTAATGTTTCAGGAATAGAAAGTGCTTCATTTCCCCCATGCTCCTCTATTTTCTAAATGCTATTTGCTCAGCTTGTAATTTGCTCAATTCTCTCTAGCCTGAAGGGTGGATTCACATGATCTAAATCCAGGCCTCAAATGCACAGTTTGGTGATCTATGTGTTCTGACTTCCTTTGTAGTGCACAGGCACCCAAAGAGAGTGATTCCCATGCTAAATCACCCCTGGAGGTGCTAAATGTTCTCCACTGCTGTGTAAGAAAAGAGGCAATTAACTCTGGCATCTCAGTGAGGTGCTTAAAGTCAGACAATACAAATACTGCTCAAAAATCACCAATGGCCTGATCCTGCAACAGAATAAGCATGCACATTTCATACTCTCAGTGTGGTTATAAGTGTAGTTATGTGTAAAAATACAGATGAAAATCTGGACACCCAGAACTTCCCTGCATGCAAATAAATTAATATACATGTATATATTGAAGATACAAAACAGTGCTATAATAGACCTATTATGATTACTCACTTCACATCCTAACAAACTATGCTTTTTGACACTGATGTTCATTTTTCCATAGCTCATTCTAAAAACTCTTCTAAAGGAATTATCCAGTTGGATTTCTTGTCCATGGAGAATTGTGGACTGAACAAGTTATTGACACTCTCATGTTATTTCAGCCTGTAATTATTCCAGAGCAAAATCAGGGCAATGTGGCAGTGAACAAGTCTCTACATTTGTACAAGACTTACCTACATTTTTACATATGTATAAACATAAATCGGTTTCTTTGCATTTTGAACAATGCCTTACCCAGTTTGTTAAGACTTGCAGTGGCACTTGGCTGACTTTCAATATGACTTTAAGCAGACGTTTTTAGAGGAATTTTTAATGTCTAATTTCCTTCTGAAATGTGCAGTCTACAGCAACCCAAATCTTTCCAAGATGTTTTTCTTTTGCCAGTCTGCAAGTCTCTAATGCCACCTTTTCATAGCTAGCAGGCTGTACTGCCTCACTTCCTGTCTTCATTTGATTTGTATTCTTAATATACAAATACAATTGTTTATTATGTATATTAAGAATACAATATTTGTATACCAAATATACATAATAAACAATTGTATTTGTATATTAAGAATACAATATTTGTATTCTTAATATACATAATAAACAAGTATTTTCTCCTCAAATGGGCTAAGCAACCAAAATAACTCTTCTATGATCCATTATTTTTTGCTGTCTTACTTGAAGTCTTGCCTCTTCTTTTCATCCCAGACATCTACATGGAGGTTTAGATTGTCAACAACCTAGACTGTCATAAGTAAAAGGCCAATGCCTATTTTGATAACCTAAAAGTAAGTGTGTCAATCTAAATATATAAAGTACACAAATACACTTTTTTAAAATAAGACAATTCATAACTACTTTGTCACCAAAAAGTCTGCAAACATTGTGTGCAATTTGATGAGAACTTACCATGCATATTTCATGATGATGCCATGTCTAGAAAGCAATGTCATCAAATTGAATTTTTAATGTATAGACCATACCCAGAAAACGTAGACCCTGCTTCAGCACCTGGTTGCATACAATGACTGGGCCTCAGGAGCCCAACTGAAGGAACTCCAACTGAGTTGAGGGCTTGTACCTTTCACACATATATACATTCTGTTGTGAGGCTGGAGTACCAATTTTCACAGACTCCATTTTCCAGCCTTTACACTCTTTTTAAAAATTCTCCATTTTCTTAGGTCAGGTTTTCCAGAGCAGGAAAACCCAGGAGTATTGCATACCTTTCTTTACCATTTTATATTTCCAGTCCTTAAATATCGAAGAGCTGCTGAATCTAGAAAGAAGGAAACTTTCTGTCTTGTTTTTGGTGATTCTTCCAGGTTTTCCCACAGAGTGTTGTGTTTTTGTCACGGGGGGTTGTATGGAGGATTCTGAATCTGTCAATATAATAAAATGTCACCTGCATTCAGAAAGATTGTGCGGGCTTTTTTCTCAAGCAGTAGTCTCTTAATATTAGTGTGCAATGTTATCAATATTTTTACACATCAGTTTATGGTAAACAACACAGGAGAGACCAGCTTTGCACAGTGAACTCCATTTATCTGGCACAATATGGGAATATGGGACACCGAGTATTCCTTAGTATAGTGGCCATGACAAAGTATTACAAAATTTTAAGTATGCTTACTATTTTCCCCCCCCAATTTATAATATTTAATGGTAGCGTTCCTTCAGTGCTCAGGTTTCTGCTGACTTCTGTGTGCATCATGCTCCTCCCAGCAGTGCTGCCATGAACGTAGCTTCTGTCTTCATTCCCAGGACTCAGTGTGACAATGTGCAATGTTTGCTCTGACTCTTGAGTCCAGATTAATCAAAGGTCACTGTAAACAAAACTTGTATCTGTTGTTGCAGGTCCTCATTTAGATCAGGCAGCCTGACTAATGTGCCAGCTCACCCCCACAAATAGGACCATCTGCAGCAGCACACATTCATCCTTCCCAGCATCTGGACACCAGAATTTAAATTAAGCTTGTGTAACCTAGTCTTGGAAAATCAATGTGTCTGTAAGTATCACATGCCCTTGTGCTGGTGGGGAGCTTTATTCTGCAAGTTTTCCTTCCCAATAGATTTTCATTTATCATGCCATTTTCCCAAAGGTTTGCCATCCTTTTGATTGGATGTCTTCCATCAATTCTCCAGTGATGCTTCTCCAATGGAGGGGCAGGTAGAAGGTGATGCCAGTTCTAATCTCTCTTCTTGCTCCTGGACATTCCTCTCATCAAAGTAGTCCCAAAAGAACTAAAATGAAACTGTTGCTGAGCTGACTGTGTATCTAAAGAGTTGCGACTCTCATATACAGCAGGCAAATTCATCAGTCTGCAGTAGAGGAAATGTTGCAGAGACAATCTCTTTCTTCGGGAAATTGCCTGGCTCACTGTTCCAGAGCAGAGCACTTTGAACCAGTTCTGTAACAGCTGGTTTGGGAAATCAGAATGGCAACTGAATCAAATCTGAGAAAAATAGGAAGAGGGTGGGATTTCTGTGGGGTGCAGCCTTCCTGAGACAGAGGTTGGGCTGCACTGTCTTGTCCTGGGGCTGGATAAACCACTTTTTTTTTCTGCATACAGAGAGCCTTAATGCCATGAAATGGTTGATACCACCTGTGTTTCACTTACCTTCTTTTTCTTCACATACATTTCCAAACACTGAAGTATTTATATTATCTATCTATCTATCTATCTGTCTATTATATATATATATGTATGTGTATATATATATGTCTCAAAAATATAACAGGGTTCACACTGAACAGCACAAGAGGGAAGCCTGTTCTGTGGTTCTGCCAGTGCCTGCTGGGGCTGCCTTGGTCTTGACTGCTGCAAAGCAATGCCAGATGGTAGAACTGCATCCACTATGAGACTAGTTTGACTTTGAAAAACATTTGCCATCCTCAAGCAACCCTAAATTAAATTTCTTTTACAACGGCTTGACTGCAAAATGAAATCAATTAACATTTTTGAAAGTCAAAAATACAGCTCTATTACTCTAAAACTGTAAGGAAGTTTTTTAAATTGTACCTGCAAATTCTTTGCTCCTAAAACATTAGCTGGTTCAAAACTTGTATTAGTAGATCAGTTTGAGTAAAGAGTATATATATATATAGTCCTTCTTGGAACTCAGTTTAAGATGTAAAGCCAAACTAAGAGCGCAGTGATACAAATAAGCATTGCAAAGTTGGACCATTCTTTGCTTGGAGATATTTTATCATTTAAGTAGATTGTCAAGGTCATTTACACTAGTAGATCTAGTCAGAAGATATACATCTTAAATATATCAGTGCCTTAAGCATGTCCCTGTCACCTTTCCTCACATCTCAGAATGAAACTCTTTCTTTTGAGCTTTCTAAACTTCTGCTTCAGACCTGGAAAGCTATTTGTAGCTGTAAATGCTGCTAATGAAATTGCCCTCAGATAAATATCACAAGCTTGGGTGCTGCATAGAGACAAATATTTCTTTGCATGGGATTTTACAAATAACAAAGCATTAAAAATGAGAAAATCTTAACAACTCCTTCCCCCTAAATATTTTCTCATTAGTGTTTGTACTTTTCATTCACCTCTAACATTTTCTTTGGTTTGGACATGTAACAACTCTACTGAAAATGCCACAAAAACAGAAAAACAAAGAAAGCCTGAATAATTTAAATCCAAAATGAGCACATATAGCGTTGTTTAAACAAATCAAGCCACAGGATACAAACATAAATCGTGAGGCAATCTCTGCAGTTCAGGATGGCTATCAGCTCCAGGTGTGAGATAGCATTAGACTGTAACTATTTCTCTACTGTAATTATAACAGAAACACATTTGATATTATAAATCATATTTTGCAATGTCCCTGAGTGTCAGTTTTTTCCAAAACCAGTACTAGATCCAGCTTCTAGTTAAGAAGAATTTGAATGTTTTTTCTCCCTCATCAGAAACCATTCTTTTGTCTTGTACCCCCACAGTCATATTGCAACTGAGCAGTGGCTCAACAAACATAGCAGCTTCGGATTAAATGCACCTACACACCCTTAATGAAGGGTTGCTGAAGGCTAATACATGGCTACTTGTTGTGGTGTTCATTCTCAGAGCTCCTTTGACCAAAATACAGGCAAAACAGATTAAACAGAGACATGTGAATTAAGATGGGGGTCTTCTGAAAACTGGAGTCAGATGAATTATACATTGAGCTTTGCCAGATGATCTTAGCTCTCATTTATCAAGAAGAGGTTATCAGCAAGAAGGGGCTCATATCACTCTGTGAGGCTGGTGTAGTCTCAGCTTTATTCTGCTCGTGCACTGACTGAAGCTGGTGTGGAAAAGTGGTCACCACAGAATTAGCGAAGTGCTGCCCGATCTCCTGGGGCATTGAGTCATGGCTAAGTTCTTTTCTCAGATGGTCCCAGACACAAACATATGAACCTTTGGGCAAGGCAGCAGCACCTTTCCCGCTGGGTGTGCGGACCTCTGAAGTGAGGAACCACCTCATTCATCTCCACAGGAGTGCCTCCATTCCCAGGAGAGTGGCGTGGCAATGGTGAGACAGACACGCAGGGCTCCCTTTTCTTCAATACGTACAGTGAACACAGGGCAGAGCATACTGCAGCTATCCCTAAAGACTGACCAACAGCTCTGATTAGAAGTCTAGCTGCAGACTGCTCAGAGCAGCTGAGGTTAAAAAAAATAAATAAAAGAAGAAAACATACAGAACTGGAGAAGAAAACCAGCCCCCAGCTGGCAGGATGATGATAACTGCTACAGAAAGAAGTACATTCATTTCCTCCTCCAAGAAGGAACAGAGAAAGCCTTTGAGATGCCATTACACAAAGACCTGTTGCAAAGGTCTGAATTGCAATCTTTGTTCAAGTTGTATTTGCATTGCTTCAAGTTATTTTCTTGCATTTTTTAAAGATCTATTTCCAGAAATGTGTAATCGAAATGCATTCTTTGCAAATGTAATTAATAAAGTAATTTAGGAAGCCAGCTTCTGTGATCTCATACTTAAGAGTAACTGCTTATTAAGTAATTATATGCCTACCTGGTTTTTCCAGTGCAGCAGAATACATTTGGAAGTTTACAGGCGTGCTGGTGCAGAGGAATGAAACCACAAGCAGAGCCAAGGAGAGACTGACATTCCTGACACTGTCAGTGGGGCCCTGGAGTGATTGTCATTATACATCCCTTACAGAGACAACAATGCTTTCCATTTGCTGGGAATGTAAAGGCCAGTGACATCTCCACTTTTTTCTGCTAACTTCTGCTAACGTCTGAACTGCACTGGGCTACTGGATAGGTGCTGTTGACATCCAGATTATTTGCACACCCTGGACATGAAGCCAAGATTTCAGTAGAACTAATGTCAGCTATATGTCTAGGTAGAAAATGATCTGTACATCATCCGTCTTTTGAAAAATATGAACTTGAGGCATGGAGAATTTCACTCATTCTAAAAAAAGGCAAGCTTTTGCTCACAGTGGATTGAAGAGTTGCTATGGAATGAGAAATCTATCTGCCTGCTCAAACAGAGAAATAAACAACTCACTTGTACAATTTTACTTGGGAAAAAAAGAATATTATTTTAATAATAAAAATTATTTTAAAATATTTTAAAATATAGTAAAATTATTCATTATGTTTCCAGGTCAAGAAGTATATTCCCATCCCTTTTATGGAGAAGGTTTATGATTTTGAATTACCAGGTTTTATTTTGGCTCTATCAGCAAGTATGTGAAGTAGGAGAGTAAGACCAAGAACACAGTAACATAGTGAAACTCTCCTGAAAGAATGAGCAAATATTGAACATGATTCTCCAATTTACCACTATTTACAATGGCATCACAATGATGCCTGAAAGTAGCATTTGGCAGCCTTTTGTGCTTATTTTGTGTGTGTTTCAATGAGAACTTGAATACAGAGCAAAAGGGAGTTGGATATTTTATATTCTTAAAGACTGCATTCTGAACATTTGATCTGGGAAGAGACATGAGGTGCTGAGGCATCAAGCAGAGGAATAATAAGCTGAGTGAAGTCCTTGATTAAGACATTGATTCCCACTCTATCATCACTTCCTCTTGATGCGTGAATGCCATTATTGGTTTCATAATTATGGTCCAAACAGATTAGTAACATTTGCTTATTGCTTTGAGAATGCCAAATGTTAAGTGTTACTACCTGCCAGACCCCTCATCCCTGACATACATCAGACAAACTTGCCTCTCCCTGCTGCTTAAGAGCAGAGCATTCTTACTTCATCACCTGCCGGGCTGAGGTAATAAAGGAGCCCACAGAAATGCAGAATAATTACAGTACTTTGCACTTCCATACCATCCTCCCACTGGGAATTTCCAGTGCTTCATAAGCATTAGCCAAAACTCATTAAGTTCTTCTAAAGTATGATTATTGTGATCCATTTGCTTTAGAAGGACAGGCACATGCAGATGAAGAGACTTAAACAAAATTACAGAGCAAATCAATGACAGCTCCAGCAATAGATCCCAGATGGCCAGATCCCACATCCCATGGGCTAGATCCTGGGCTGGCTGTAGCATGCAGGCTGTTACCATAACAGCCCTACATGAGGTTCCAAATGCCTCAGCAATATTCTTGCCTGCCAGTCAGTAACATCTTTTGAAAGAAGAAAATAAGGAAAGATTGTGTTTTCTGGTTTGTTTGTTTTAACCACGCACAGCGCACCACATGAAAGGCACGTCAGTCATGGATATCCATCTCCCATGTGGACAGGGCTCCCTTCCCCAATTTGAGTGGTAACACAAGATGAACAAAACATTACCTTCCTCTCCAGCAGCAGAGTTTCCAACAGTCTCCCTTTCTCGGTCAGTCTGGTTGGAAACAGCACTTCCACTTTTTGTCCTTCGAAGAACACTGAACGCCTTGTTTATTTTTTTAAAAGATCTGCTTCTTATAGTGGAACGTTCAAAGTGTCGAGCTGCAACAGCCGGGAAAAAACCAAATCAGTACAGTTCAGCAGTTCTGGTCTAGAACCACAGCATTTCTGTAGCCCTCAGCATATGATGGGATGTAACATCAACATTAGGGCTGCCTGTACTTCACCTCTGCCCCTGAGTCCTGCTGATACTTCAAGGTTGCACCTGAATCTGGGTACAATCACCCTACCTCAGTCCCACACCCTCGAATTGCCTCCTTCCTATCTGTTTTGCCAATCACCTGGAGAAATCTCGTGTGAGTGTGGTAGCTTTGGAAAGAATTATCCTCCATCAAGGCAGAATCAGCAGCAATTCTCTGAAAAATACATATAAAAGGAAGAAGCACTGCCCTTCCTCAGCTATACATGTTTGACCAAAAAAAGCTGGAAGTCATTAAAAACTCTTCTTGAAAAAATCCCCACTACTACTACTGCCTCAAAACCTGGAAATGCCTCTAAAGCCACCAATGATTGCCAACTGTTTCACGTCAAAAAATTCAAATATTATCAGGTGGGAGGGGTCAAAAGCTCCCATATTCTGACTCGGGTACAGCAATACAAAAGAAAAGTCATAATACTTTCAAAACATGTCACTCTTTTCCATCCTGCTAAAGATATCTTCATGGCTGTTGCTGTTCTGTCTGTTCCAGCTCTGCATGCTAGCCAAATATTGTAATCTAATAACACAACATTCCCTCAAACCAGACTGTGGCCTCTACACTCAATAAAACTGACAGAATTTATTGAGATTCTGGTGCTCTGTTCTTGCACCCTTCCTTTCCTCACCTCTCCAAACCCTGGCACAACAAAAGGATAATGCTTCTCATTTCCTAGAGTATCACCATCCCTTCATCCATTCTCCCAATATGCAACTGGCAGCACACAAGGTGGGCTTTTTCCATTTCAGCTTCAGAATCCTCAAATACATGCTTTGAACTCACCATTAACACTTTTGACTGGCTTTAGCCAGGCCCTGTTTTTCAAACATGACACTCATCAAAGAGGTGAAGTGTCACAAGGTGAAAGATCAAGGCTAAGTCTCCTGATGCAGCTTGTCCCCTGACTGTTGTTATTTCAGCAGAACCAGCTTCTCCAAACTGCACCTTCCCAAGAAGCTGGCAGATGTTCCCCAAGGTCCTAAGGCAATTCTTAAGGGTTTTATTTTCCTGAAAATACTTGGCAGATGTGAAACACAGTTCCCAATAGGATTTTGGGTAGGTGCCAATGGCTGTGGGTGTTACTTGGGCCACCAAGATTTAGTGGAGACACATTACCCAGCTACACCACCTCCTCAAACCATCACACATAATATTTAATCTTCCAACTGAGCTGACTTACCTAAATAATCTTTCTAAAGATTTGCAGTTTACATGTGTATAGCTAGTCCATTTTCAGATTGATGCTGCCCCTGGCCAAGCCATTTTTTTTCACCTCAAATCTATTGGGTCACTGAATGCACAATTTGATAAACAATGAAAAATGAAAGCTTTCACTTTCCCCACCGCTTTTTCTTTTTAATTTTTTTTTTATCCTCCAGTGACATATATTTAACAGAACAATGAATTTGTTGGAGGCTGTGAAGCCATCATTTTTGGCTCTTACTCCTGTTGCGGTTGCTGCGGTGCAGGTCTCCGGGGCTGCTACCCAGCTGGCTGTCCTCTGAGGTGGGGCTGAAGGCCGGGTTCACCAGCCCTGGCTCATCTGTCATTAAGGCAATGGCTGCAGCTGCTGAGAGCTCAGGGCCCAGGGCAGCTACTGCTAAGCTGGAGCCACGGTCAGGAGAGCAGTCCTGGGAACGCCTCTTCCGCTCCTTGGTAAGGCCATAATGGGATGCTCCTTTACATCTAAGGAGAAGGGAGGGAAAGAGAGACATGATAGCAAGTTGTTTAAATTCTGCGTACTTATGGAAATTCTCTGCTTCCAAGGAATCACTTGGAGAACAACCTGTAATGATCATGGTGACCAGTGAAATATGGATGATTAACAAGAGGGAAAAATGCCAACGTGTGCTTCAAATGAGGTGAGTTACCACCTTACATGGGAAGAGTACTGCTGGTCAAGGAAAAATAGAGAGTCTGAGCCTTGTGTGTAGTCTTATGTGTATCAATAGTTACTGTGGATGCAAGAGGACAAGAATAGCAGGTGGCTAATTAAGCCAGAGGCTACAATCTGTAATTTCCTACTTGCCTCGATTGATGAAGGAGAGCAGGGTGAGGCCTGACAGCTTCTCTGGGTCTGCTAGTGAAATAAAAGGCACCTTACCCAGTTCTGCCTCCTGAAAAACCCTCCCGGTCACCAATGTGGTCACATGTGGAGCATGGCACTGTGTCTGCAGAGACCAGAGCAAACCTTAAAGGGCTGCAGATGGGAGCTGAACACCTGGGGGCTGCAGGAATCCAGGCCACATGCGGTGCCTTTACAGACCATTAACTACTTGAACTGCATCTGATGAATTGTTGAATTGTTTTCAAATTTAGCCACAGAGATGAAGTTGCCAACTCTGCTTTTCCAGCTCAGCTGAGACACTAAAGTAGGCAGGTCATTGCCTTGACAGAGGAAGAGGTGCAAGTGGAGGTAGGGGGTCCCACTGACCCTGCAGCCTCACCGGAGTCAAGGAGGGACTGCAGAGCTCCCACCAAGGGGCTGGGACCTCATGCCAAGGTCCTTGGGCCAGCCTGGGACTTCATCAGCTTGAGGACCTCAAGGTAGGTTCTAAACTACTTCTGGGGGAAAATCCTCTGTTTCTAGTGGAGAAACACATGTTCTCAAAAGAGCTCAAGATACAGAATTGTAAGGGGCAAGTTACAAGCCTGCTTTGAAACACACGTAGTTATGCTTCCAAATATCTGCTCTAGATTCATCCTAGACAGCAAAGGCAGGACCATGCATGGCATTTCTTTTTTAAGACTCATGGAAGAAAGTCACTTGAATAAAATTAAAGGTCACTGTAGTCTTCATGAGTCAGTATTCAATTAAAGCTATAAAACAACTGAAAAGACAGAGTGACCAAGGACACAGCACCTGTGACTTCACCAGCACCACTTCTGCCCAGTGCCACCCACTAGAACCACATTCAGTGCAAAAAAAAACCAAAAACCAACAAAAAAACACCAAAAAAACCCCTGCTTTTAATCATAATCTAATGAGCTTGGTCTACTTTCAGTTACTATTATCCCTTTCTTCATGGTGAAGGCTAACTGATGACTTTCATGAAAGTGCCCTGTAGGACAAACTCACAGAAATAGCTGCAGAAACCCTTAGGGATAGAAAGCTCTTCGTAATATATGGCATGCACAAAAGGCAATGCATAATACATACAGTACACAACGCTAGTGGGTTAAGTTCATGAGAAGAAGTAGCACACTGAACAGAAGACTTTGAAGAGAAATTATTATGGGAGCAGTTCCTGAGACAGAAAGAGGAAATGTCATCGAGCTCTCTGTATCAGCTTCCGAGTAGCAGTTTAATTTCTGTCATGGTACTGACTTTTGATGAGACAATTGAATTAGAACCTTTTTTTTGGCACTAGATCATGGTTTACCATCGTTTACTTCATTCTGCTTCTGACAACTTTTATCTTAAAGAGGGGAAAAATACCCAAACCAAACTCTGTCATATTGATGCAACTGTGTGTTATGTATATGCTTTAAGGCTTGGATAGGAATGGCTGTAACAGAAGGTATTTCTGAAACTTTTCATAAGCAAAATGAGGCATTTCACAAGAAAATACTCTTATGGAAGAGAAGATTGGTCAACTACTTCAAAACACCAATAAATAGCTATTTGAGGCACCATTGCAAGGCAAGACTGCAACAGTAGACATGTAAAGAAAGGAAGAGCTCTCCTGCCTCCTTTGCAGCAGGTATTTTTCTGTTACTTTCCAGATTTTCTCACTCCCACAGAACCCTAAACTATGGCAGGATGCTCTCCTTTAGATTTCATGGGAAGCAGAAGCACAAAGGCCTTTTCCTCTTGCTACTCACTTAAACACCTTCTTCACAGTGTTTTGGATACCCATCCTTGACATCTCTCTCTTGCAGTAAAGTCACATTTGCTAATCCAGCATATGAATGCTCGACAAAATAGTTTTAAAATAGTCTAAAAACCCAACACAGAGAAGTGGCTTTGGGGGGAACTGTTTGCTGTTCTCAGAAGACAGTCTCTGCTTTACAACAATCTTGTAAAGATTCAGAATGTGATAAGATATATTCCTACTCCTGTTCATTTTACTTCTTTTGGCTGTGTTTTCCCCATGTCAGTAAAGTTTCAGTGGCTGATACTAGAACACCAGCCTTGTGAATGAGTTCTCAAATGCAGGTGGTTTTTTTTATTTGGAAAGCTCTGTGAAGATCAATATGAAGATCAGAAGTGGCTCTGCCCAAAGATTCTTACTATTTGGATTCAAACACTGCCTGGTGCCCATCTGCTGTTCACTGCTACAGCCTTCTCTTTCTGTGGAAATCTTCACTTGCTGCTGCTGGCTGCACTGCAGACACACAGTCAACAGCTTCATTCCAACAGCAATGAACAGAAGACAGCTACTTTGAATGTAGAGAGGACTGACACAGTTTAAGATGTGGCTTATTGGAGAAGACAAGTTGTCATGATACAAAGCACAAAGCATATCTTTCTAGCGCTGCCAGAAATAGTTAAAGAAGAACCAGAGCTCTTCAAGTATGATCACTGAAGCTATTTCTTAAATAATTGTGGCAGGCATAAATGAACACAAATCAAGACCTCTTTCTTCAGATTAACACAGTGTCCTTGAAGAAGGAAAAAAAAGTCCCAAGACCTCAAACTTGTAATAAAATTTGCAATAGCATCTCTTCACTTTCATTGTTTTGCTTGTGCTGACACTGCTGTGATAACAGAAAACAGAAGAGATGACTGTCTAAGTGGAATCATATTTATAGTGCTCAAGCTACATTTTTCCATATGGTTGGTTTTGGCTCCCAGAAAAGAGAGAAACATAAAACAGCTTCGTGCCAGCAGTAATTAGCTCTCTCATTGTGAGTATTAATCACAATGCCTGTTTTGCAGCTGCAAGAGTGGGATACCTGATTAACATAACCAGTCAGAAAGTGAACTCAACAGTGTCTGCAGGCCAAGGTGAACTACAGATTTATGTTCCTTCTCAGTTGTGCTGGACAGTGAGTACATCCGTGCAGCCGTACAATAGTGAAACAATTTGAAGGCCAAACCCCAGAGATATAAACAGACATGAATAATGTGTGCTGTGCAGTTTGTGCCATTAAAGTAGTGTCACTAGGTGCACAGGAAACTGAGAAAATAGTTTCTTCTGTTTGAACAGCCTCTTTTATGAAGCAGATATCTACTGTCTGATATTCTGGAATGAGCTAACCACTGGGTGGTATAAGAGCAATGGTCACTGCTGAAATTTCACCCAGGGCTGCAATTCTGGCTGGTATCAACACTGGCAGCCACAGGGAAATCTCTGCCCTGCACCCTGTTCCACACTTGAGGGACACTCTGCACTCCAGGCGTCAGGAGCAGCACATCCCAAGAGCCAGAGCAAGGAGATCCAAAACCCTCTGACAGCCTTAACTTGGTTCTACCATTTGTAAAAACTGCCTTCAGTTAAACTCAAGGCCAACAGAAACATATCCACGTCATTTGAAATTCAAATTAAAACAAGGGTTTGAAAAGAGAGTTCTCCTTGCAGCATCCCTGACTTGCACAGCAAAGGAGGAACTGAAAGGAAGATTGACCTCAAGGATTTCAATTACCCAGGCTGACATAGGAAAAAAACGTAAAGCCAAAACATAAGCAAGGACAACATCATGAATTTTTTCACCTCTCTTCTAGTGATCTAAATAAAACAATTCCACAGGTAAAAAATATATGTATATGTTTGCTCATGGCAGGGGGACTGGAACTAGATGATCTTTATCGTTCCTTCCAACACAAAACATTCTATGATCCTATGATGTATTATGCACGTGACCTTAAAAACGCCCTGCCTTCTGTGTCACTTCACAATCTCTGTCTGGGCATGAAACAGGGGAAAAAAGTGAATCTGCAGAGTCACAGTGGTTGTGACCCAGGCCAGACACAAATAAACAGAGCAGGACCCCTCCCTGCCCAGTTCCAGTAGTGTTTTCTCAACCTCACTTCCGGCACCCCTCATATTTTGGACTGTTTTACTTTAGCGCAGAAGCAGCGGACACATTGTCAGAATGCAACTAAGAATAATGTATACAAAGCACTAAAGATTGCCCATCAGAAGAAAATACTGCATAATGAGCTGTCACTGCTGTTCCATAGCTAAACCCTGATCACGATAGACAAGTAGGTTTCAGCTACGGTGTCACTGCAAGAAGCCTCATCCCTGTGTAATTTGGTCTTCACACAAGTTGGGGTCCAAAGTATCAACAGCATGTGCCATACCTCTGTTACACAAACTCCCTGAATGCTCTAGCACCCATAAACTAATCCAGTGGAAAAGATGATGGAGAAACCAAAGCTGATCAACCAAGATCATCCTGGATAACCTGGTGCAGATAACCTTGCTTGTGAGACCCTGGTGAGAGGTTTCTGCTGTGCCTAGGAGGAAAGGAGACATGGGGTTTAATTGGATAGGATGACTCACAAGAAGGTGTTGACAATTCCTGCCCCACAGGAACCATCCACACCATTGCAGTGTGCATTGGCAGTGACAGTAGTCCAAACATAACCCAAACACCAACCACATGGACTTCAGGCCAAACACTTAAACTCTGAAGTTTTCTGAAACTCCATCACAAGGGAGTGAAGTGACTCAATCAGTTCTTCAGACAGAGCTAACACAAACTCTTCTGATCTGACTTTTGTCAACAGTGCACCA